CAGATTACCATATTTTTCTTTCGCTCCAATATAATCTTAATGGGAAAACGAATGCAAATATGGAAGGTGTTAAAGAGTACATCGGCATGTTTTTTACTTCAAAACCAAGTGATTTCTTTAATTAGAGCATTAACAACTTGATTGTAAGATGATATATAAGTTCAGGTTTCTTCATCTAAAATAAAAGCGACATTATTTTCTTGACGACCTAATAGTTGCAAATATCATTCTTTGATTAATACGGATATCATCAACAGTCTTCAGATCTCTAAAACCAAGTGAATTACTATAGATAGATAGATAAATATGTCAATGGAGTCTTTATCACTCTCTTGAACATCTTACATTTCCATCTAATCGAAAGAGCTTATGAGAGTATTTCTAGTTTATAAGCTTGTTATATATTACAAGCTATTCAATTTATGAGCAAATTCAAGTCATTCCAGAAAATTGTTAAAGGTAAGTAATTATAATAATACTTCGTAATGATACGTCTCCAACCGAAATTAATTTTTTTGTAGTATACTTAATTAAGAGTACCCAGAGGTAAGCGATAAGGTTACGGTCTTACAATGCTATAATCCGGGATTCGATCCCCTGGTAGACAGAGCACAAATAGCATATTGTGTAATTTTCAGTTGAAAAAAACTAACAAATAAAATGAACTCAATTAAGTAACTATTGCAAATCCATGCTATATTCGTTGTTTTGTAATTGCTTCATTTTTTATATCATTGGTCACAATATAGATTATTTGCTGAATAAAAAAAAATGTAGTAACAATGAAACAGTAAGTTCATCTATATTCAATACGTTTTTAAAGATTGAGAACCTGTTATGAAAAACTTGTACATTATTTTCTATTTCAATTCGACAAATATGAAGTTTCCTGAAACAGACATTTTCAGTTATTATTGATTTGGTTCAGTTGTATTTACAAAAAACACGTCAGTGCTATCTGGCGAGTTATAAAATAAACAAATATAATAATTACGGTAACAAGATGATCATGTAATATCTGTTATCTAGTGACAATTCCTAAAATTACATTAACAACATCTAGTGACAATTCATAGAATTACATTAACAATGTTAACAGTTCTTAAGAGGATAAGATAATTAAAAATTGGGAATTTAAAAACCTGGAAATAGGGATCGTAAAAAATAAAGAACCTATTATTACATTTGGTGGAGTAACAATGGAGAATTGTAGTTTGAGTAAATAATGTCTACAGTATCTCCAGCCTTGCTTCCATGCTTTTTTATGATCCCTATTTGCAGGTTTTTAAATTTCCAATTTTTCATTGATCTTGTTTGCTGGCTTTTTTTATTTTCAACTACGGACAAAGGATCACTTGATGTGGTAGCTAACTTTATACGTTGTAATGATAATAAACATAGCTATTAGCTAACTGATACGGTTCATGATTATTTACTGTAGTTATTGAGCTGGAGATTGTCATGGAGATTTGTTTGAGAATATAGTGACCATTTATAGTTTTTATGTAAACTAAATTCTACATACTTAATGTATAGCAATGGGCAAATATATGCCTAGACTGAGATACAACCTCCACTAAGTACCTATACAATTTTATCAATAGAAAAGCAGCCTTTTCAAATAAAACTTATATGTCTAAACCTTCGTGTGATTTAAAGTAATTATTCTATGAATGTGTGTGTAATAAAATTTAATATTAAGTGTGTTGATTTTTTTTACTCCTTCACTTCATACATAATATAGGGTTTGGCTCAATAAAGACGTCCATTGTATAGTGTACAAAGCATTGAGTATCTACATTTTACAGTCATCTAATGTCCATCTATTAATGGCTGGTAATTCCTGTTTCACCATGTACTTAAGCTTTTCAAAGGAACACCAAATTCTGTAGGAAAGCTAACTTCAAGGGGTAATAATAACATCGTTTACACTAGAATTATGATGTTTTTAGTATATGTAAAATATAGAAGAAACAAATCGACTTTTAAGTACCCCTACGAACTTCGCAGTACCTTATTTAGTATTCTACAAAAAGTTTTGGTTAAATATACTATGCCGTTTTTGTTGCAGACTGGCAAGAGAATAAGAAGAAGAAGAAGAATTACAAACTGGCCGTTCAGCAAGGTCGATAGTAAAGGCTTTAAAGTGTTATTTGAACAGAATTTTTACTGTTTAAGGTGCTTTTTGCCCAAACGTTTTATTACGGTTTTGTGCAATTTCTTGCAATCCCTATGATGAACCACTATCGTGGTTCATGATAGGTATTATTACAGCCATGATTTATGTTAAATTACAGTATAGCCCGTTAAAAATGGCGAGGTTAAGTACTATCACCCCCGCCCTATAGTACACCTAATCTCGCATTTCATAACTAACTGAAATAAATAAATTTGGCGAAATCAAGCTTGAACACAAAAGAGGCAAAAAAAAAAAAATAGCAATCGAGGCAGTCAAACGTCGGTAAATTCCTTTGTGAACTAATCATAATTAAGATCATTCATTGAACGAATTCGTGGAGTATTCATAGAATAATTGTTGATAAAAATCAGTTAGATTAAAACTTCTAATATATAACAAAAAGCGAGTGGATTTTGGTAACAATACTTTCCAACAATGAATTTTATGTGCTTAGCAACAGAAGTATAACCTAATGTTGTTGTTGTCAGTCGACGTACTGAAAGTATAAAATGAAATGTATAGACAACAAAACTGGAAAAATATTTGTTGATTTCTTAATTTTAGTTTACTTGGATTAAAAAACTTTGTTGTTTTTATTTTTTTTATTAAAAACGTCGCTAATATAACAAAAAATAGCTTAATTCAGAAACGAGTTAAGTCTAAAATTGAATCTTTTTTTTTTTTACTTTCTTGATAAATTTTATGCCCCTGGCTCTAGGCTAGGTGCTCTCACACTACGTCTTTACTTTAAGCTTATTATACCAACACTCACTACACTTATAAGGTTTCACGGCACACACCCCTTACACCCCCATCACTAACATCTTAATGGGCAGACAGTAATCGAACTATTTTACATTAATAAATGGATAAATACATTTTGGCTTTTATGACTCCTCCTATTTCGATAAATCAAGCGTGACTGGATTTTATATAGGTTAGATTTATAAAGATTGTTGTCGGTTATTTATCTATAATGGTGGACAATTATCAGATCTATCGGGGCATTTGAACTGTAGTTATGTGCATAAACAAATTATCTTACATTAAAGTGTTTAATGGTCTATCAATATATTTATAGTATATTACATATGACGCTTAATACTATTTACAAAACAGCTTTAATTAGAGTCGATTTTCATATAATGACGCGGAGTTGAATCCTTATAACAAACAAACACAAACAGTTTATCAAGACTCATGATATTATTAACACCTGAACATTATCATTCCTATCTGTTAAGTAATTATTAATCCAAATAATAATAATACTTTAAGCTATTCAAACCAATTATTCCGGATTTTTTTATAATTGTTTCTAGTAATATGTAATATTTTTAATTCATCATAATTGTTCATTTGTTTGTTTTTAATTATGCACAAAGCTACACAAGGACTAGCTGTGCTCTGCCAACCACGGGTATCAAAACCCGGTTTCTAGCGTTGTAAGTCTGCAGACATACCGCTGTGCCACTGGAGGGTAATTCCTCATAAATTTCGTTGTTTGTTTGTTCACCTGAATGACATAATCTGTGAATAAAGATACTAAGATAAAACGAAATACATAAAATTACAACAATAAACATTTTCAACACTTAGTTTTACTTTCTGCAAATCCCCAGATGGTTCTGTGTGATTGTATCGCTAATATTCAGAGTTAGATCTCTGCAATGGGCTCAATACAGTAACCCATTATGCAGTTTTAAAATGAAGATTGCCGTAGGACGGTCGAAACGTTACCTTAACAAAGAGTTTTCAACTCACTGACGTGGGTTATCTAATTCATTACCCCGAAACAATATTAATTTTTGACCACAGAAAATAAAGACGATTTATAAAATAACTTCTTTGAACAATTTCGTGTGTGCTCTTATTTTTAAATACAAGTCGATGGGCCCGGCACGGCAAAGTGGATAATGCGCTCGACTCGCAATCTGAGAGTCGCGGGTTCGAATCCCCGTCCCACCAAACATGCTCGCCGTTTCAGTCGTGGGGGCGTTATAATGTGACTGTCAATCCCACTATTCGTTGGTAAAATAGAAGCCATAGAG